TACTTTCTAGCTTTCTTCTAAGGAGATCCTCAACGATCTGTTTACCAATTTCACATGGAGCGATCCGAATGTTAATATCCTGGACGCGGTCATTATCGATCGCTGGAGCTCAAGAAACGTGTCCTTCTTTTTTGGATTGGTCATTTTCACCGCTTACTATGTAACGTCATACTTTATCGTTCCTTCGTGTGGGTGATACGATACTCATAGTTCATGTGTAGCGCCGTGGCGATTACCCTGCCGATCCCAAACGGTGTCTTCTCACCGCTGTTGCTGATTGGTAAATGCATGCATTATAGACTTCATTTGTGATAATCTTGATCCTTGCGTTTTTTACTATAGGCGCTGGCTTCGGCCGTCTTTTCGGAGAAATCATGGCCCTATGGTTTAACTATGCCAATGAAACCAGAGTTTTTCCGGGCAGCTACAGTGTTTTGGGTAAAGAGCTTGTTATTGACCACTTTCGCCTTAAGTTTGATTTCATTTGAAAAAATTCCATGCATCATTTTTCAAAACCATTTCTTTGCTTTTGCTAGCTGTTATCCACTTATGTGTTTCACAGTTTAACATTCCTTTCAGGTTGGAGGGCACAGCTCGAAAAGGACTTTTCAATAAGCCTGATAATTCATTATTCAACTCAGATTAGTTATGCAATATTGGATTCTGAGAGGCAGTAACGACATATATTACACTTAATATATTCAGCCATCTGAACTCTGATCTGTCGTTCGCAATCATCGTAGCATTACCACTTCATCGTTCATTGTCTACTGTGACGCAACTTATTTACATACCCCAGGTGTACTGTTACGAGATACCTCGACGATCTGGGATTTAAGGAGCACTTTCTCAGAAACTCAGAAGCAGCGTTGACTGACGTTTACAGAGTTGGTTCAATTTTCTCTAGGTCTTTCAAAATGACTAAGAATATCATATCGAAGAAATGTCAAAATTGACTCATATCAGAATAGTTTTAATTTACTCTACCTACTTTACTGAATTTACTGAATTTAACCCTTATTGGACCTTTTGCATAGTTATGGCAAAACTTTGGCAACAGGGTACTACCTGTCCCAGAGGGTCCTTCAACCTTTTTATGATTTGATCAAAATGGCGAAATGAGTCTATTCATGACTTCTTTGGAGAAGTAAAGCCAGGCAGTGGGATACGCGACAAATTTCGGTGATTGGAGGAGTTATGCCTTTGGAACTGCTTCGCTTGTCAACCCGTAATTTTGATTCGTTGATTCATTTTCAGCACCCCTCCCCTGCTTTAATTTCGTGCCGCGACTATCCATACTGTAGTCACAATTGAAATGTTCTAATTGTCCTGTTTTTAAGTTTTTTGAATAGCTAGCGTTAACTCCCAAAGCACACTACCATTCATGGTTTCGCGATCTTTACAACAGATTTGTCGCAGTCATACCCAGCATTCTTTGGACACCTGAAGAAAGTCTACCACCTTTACTTATAGATTGGTCAGTTGTCATTAGGCAGATACGCAATGGAGTTATCAGCTCGCCAGTACATTGAAATATTTTTTTGGGCTGTGATTTCGAATATGTATATTTTTTTAATATTTTTGACCATATATGCCTACGTATTTTCCTTCACTGTATACAAATCGGTCCAGAGTGCATTCATTTCCTTCCTGTTGTCTGAATTTTG